TTAGAATGTCTACAGAGAGGTGAAACTGGATTATCACCTTTGGTTATTTTCAAGTGATGTAGATTAACATGAATGACCAGTATTGAGTGTTTTTGAACGAATATAAAAAAAAAAAACTGGCAAACATTCACAAATAATGTTATTTTGTGAATACAATATATGTTTGAACCCTTAAATAAAAAAGCTGAAAATCACACCAATACTGTTATGTGTGGGTTATATGTCAACTCTGAAACACGCGCCAATAAAACAGCTCACCTTTTGTGATTATTAAAGTGTGGCATGTATTCACCTTGTATGGACTGGATGTAATTTGTAATCAAGTACACTGTGTGTTTTAAGTGACGCATTTCCATCCATTGTTAAGCTGTTACGTTTAGGAATGTTAACTGCCAATTTAAATCACGTGTTCTATGTCCATGATTTGGTGAAGGCTCTCATTTGATTTCAGGCATATTCGTAACTCAGCTCGCTGGGAGCTAGCTCAGTGGTCTGGTTAAAAGGAAGTGTGGCTCACCCAGGATCGGCAGAGCTGGACGTGCTGCCCACAGGTGTGTGGGGAAGGCAGGCTGACAGGCTTTTACTCTTTTCTTTTTCTATTTCCTAAAGAAAATCATAGTTTTCTTTCATCCAGTGAAGATTTATAGGATGTCTACTATAGACCAAACACTGTGCTTGTAAAATGACTAATAGGCAGATACTAGAGATGAAAAAGATTTTAGTATCTAAAAATAATAGAAAATAAACTAAAAAAAAAAAAAAAGAAAATAAACTAACTAGTTAGATTTTTTATTTTTTTATTTTTTTGGCAGAACCGGGGATTGAACTCAGGCCTTTGCACTTGCCAGGCAAGTGCTTATTCCACTGAGCTATTTCCCCGGCCCTAGCTAGATCTTTATAGGTGTTAGTTTTTCGAACTGTGTATGAATTTAGCACTTTCCAGTAGTTTGTGGAGAGCCGCAACTAGCATCTGACGAGTTGTTTAACCAAGAACAGATCAATTATATTAATATTTAATGTAAGGCTATAATAAAATGGCTATGCAAGAAAATATTACCTTTTCTTGTAGCTAAGAGATTGCTTACCTTACAAGAAGGGCTTTGCTTTTATTTGTTTGAAACAGGGCCTTGCTATGTGCTTAGGCTGGCCTCAAAATCCTGAGCCTCAGCATCCCAAGTGCTGGGATCAGAGGCATGCACAACCAAACAGTAGGAAGTTTCAAGTGTTTTTTTGTTTTTTTTTGTTTTTTTTTTTTGTGGAACTGGGAATTGAATTTAGGCCCTTGCGTTTGCCAGGGAAGCATTTATTCCACTGAGCCATCTCCCTGGCCCTTCAAGTGTTTTTTAATGTCATGCTTTCCTAACTTAATGTACATACAAAATCACAACCATTTTAAGAATTAGACCGCAAGCAGGCACAGGGGCTGCAAGCGGGCTCGGGCCAGGGCTTCAATCCCCAGGCCTGCCATGCCCCCACCCCCCTACCCCTCCACCCCCGGGGTGTGCTGAGTCGGCTTGAGACTGGACATGGTGTCGTGTGCCTGTAATCCCAGCTCTTAGGAGGCTGTAAACAGGCAGATCACTATGAGTAGGATCTAGTAGTGAGACCCTCAATACCCTGTAGACCCTTCCTTAAAATACAAAGAAAAAAAAAAAGGTTTAATGAAAAGTTTATTTACTGTTTGTTTCTGCTCCCTTTCATCTGTTTATACCAGGGAAATGGGTGTTATAGCTTTTGTTTTCTTGCAGTGGAGACGTGAGCGGGGCCTGATGGCAGCACAGGGGAGCTGAGAGCTCTTTAAAATCACTTCAAGTTGGAATGTCTGAGCCGTATTTTAAAATGTACCAGAAGGACAGGGGTCCTCGAGAGGTATATGTTTGCTTTCTCCTCTGCTGCTGGGGATTGAACCCAGGACTTCACACGTGGTAGGCAGGTGCTCTTCCACTGACCTGGATCCCTCCCTTGCCTTTTAAATTTCTGAAACAGAGTCTAAGTTCCAAGGCTGGGCTTGAACTTGTAATCCTCCTGCCTCTGCCTCCTGAGTAACAGGTGTGAGCCATGGCACCCAACAGAAGGTCTACTTTTTTTTTTTTTTTTTTTTTTTTGTATTTTAGGGAATGGTCTACAGGGTGTTCAGGGTCTCGCTACAATATGGGACTCACAGTGATCCGCCTGTTTACAGCCTCTCAAGAGCTGGGATTAGAAGCATGCAGAAGGTCTATATTTTTTTTAAAAAATATAGAAGATTATTGGAACCATTGTTGAATTTTTTTGGGGGGGTAGGACAGTTTCAATAATTAACACATTGCATACTCTCTTCCTAGTCAGAAGGTCTGCTTTTATCATACATGATAGTTAAGTTCAGGTTGTAATCTTTCAGTTGAGTTATCAGTATTTTTGCAGTTTTTCCATAATATAATAGTCGTGGTAAAGTGAAAATACAGGTTTTAGTAGTGTTCATCATAGTTTGAAAGATACTACAAATTGTGTCATGTTATTCTCCCAAGGAACAATCCAGTTCCATGATTACAAAACATAAAGGGAGGAGGGGTGAGTAGGAAGGAAAAGAATTCAAAGAATTTTAAGACTAGCCTAGTAAGCACCAATTAATAGGGTTTTTTGGCAGAACCACAGATTGAACTCAGGCCCTTGCGCTTGCCAAGGAAGTGCTTATTCTACTGAGCCATCTCCCAGACCCCAATAGTTTTTCTTTGTAGAAGATTATTGGAACTTTTGTTTCAGTAAGTGACTTGGCAGTTGAAGCTGAGATGGAGTCTGGTTCTCTTTTTTTTTTTAAATGTATTTGGTACAGGGTCTCACTATGCAGCTCGGACTCACTGTGATCCTCCTGTTTTCAGCCTCCTCGGTGCTAGGATTACATGGGTGCGCCACCACGCCCACCAGGAGTCTCAGTGGTTGGCTCAGCACCCCTGGGGGTGGGGCCGGCCTGGCATTTGGTGCCAGGGATCAAACCTGGTCCCTGCGCTTTCTTAAGCAGGTGCTTGGTTCACTGAACTATCTTGCTGGCCCTGGTTCTTGTGTTAAATCTCTGAAACTACCTTTAAAAACAGACTATTTCTGTGTACTCTTACACCCTAAACAATGCTAAAACTGCCCAGGGATAGCCTGAAGGAGCTGACCCTTTATAAAATCTGTTTTAAACCATTGCTATGAACCATAATAAATACAGTTTACACTGCAAATTATCACACTCATAATTACAACTATGACAAAGCAAAGCAAAAACATCTCATGAAATACCCTGTGTAATACCCTGCTTTCTGATTTTTTAAATTTCATTTCCTTTTCAAAAATAACTTCACAGTCCACTCATGAGTCCCAATCCATGATCAGTAAGACTGCTAGCGGGAACTGCACTGGCTAGAGCAGAGCCACCTGAGGGTTGTCCATCCCACCTAAAATATTTTTGTTCGTTAAAGGTCCTAACATACAGGAAATTCTAAGTTCTTAAATTTTTCTTTCGTTTGATCACGGATGTCTGCTGTGATTATACTGCAGCACTTTTATTTTTCTGTCCACTTTTGTGTATTTTTTGTGCCCTGGGTTGATCTGGGGTGAGAAGTTGAGAGGACCACAGTCCCGGGCAGACTTACCACAGGTGATCATGACTCTGAGGGACTTGTCTCTGCTTGGAGTTCAGTGATTCATCAGTTCCCATCTTTGTTACTAAGTCAGGTGACATTGCCTTACCCAGCACTAAGAGTCCCTGAGTTTGCCCACTTGTGCTGGTTCTGTCCTCCCAACTACTAACTGTTCCTCAGGTGGAGAAAGGCTTTAACTGGCATCCGGCTGCTTAAGACCCTTGACCACCCCACTCCCTCAGTCTTTAGTAACAAGATCATGGAACAAGTGGGATTATTCTGATCTCCCCAAACGGAGTCGTAGGACTAAGGACCATCTTCTCAACGGGGCCTCTCCTGTGACACTGTATGACTACCACGGTGCAGCTCCAGGCCTCAGTCCCATGCTACCCCTCAGCAGCACTGTGGAGCTTCCATCCCTGCTATCATTACTGCTTCTGCTTGCCCCTTGCTGGTACTGCTGCCTGTGTTCCCCAGGCTGCCACCCAATTTTCTCTTTTGCCCTTGTAAAGGGCTAAGCTTTCCTCAACTAGGTAGTCATTAACCTAAAACTAATTCTGGACTTAGACCAGAGTACCAGAATACTCATTATGAGCTGGCCATGGTCATTATGCTTTTAACTAACAGCCTACGAAGCAACTCAATAAAGGGGCTGTCCCAGGGAGCCGGGACCTGCACCTGTTCCAGCTTAGTGGAAGAGGAAGGAACTCAACTGAGGTTCAAAATGTGCACGAAATAGTGCCACAGTTTGCATATTGTTTCAACTAATGCTCTAGGCCAGTGTTTCCCAAAGTTATCTGGCCTTGACAGTCCTCTAGGCTGGGTGCAGTGGCACATACCTTAAACATAGCAACTGGGGAGGTTGAGCAGGGGATCACAAGCTCAAGACCAACGGGGGCAGGGAGATGGCTCATTGGAATAAGCACTTGCCTGGCAAGTGCAAGAGTCTGAGTTCAATCCCCGGTTCCACCAAAAAAAAAGACCAACACGGGCAGCTTAGCAAGACTCTGTCTCTTAGCAAGACTCTGTCTCAAAATAAAAAGAACTGAGGAAGTAGCTCTATGGTAGAGCTCTAGTCTAGATTGAT